TTTTGTACAAAAGTACAATCATCGGCTGATTTGAAAATATGGCTCGCTTAATCTCACTCACTTTTGCATAGAAATTCTTTTGTTTTCTCTCTGATTTTTTTTCAATGGCCACATTTTAATTTTCTTTTTCTCTCTTATTTTTCTCAGCCTCTCTATGATTTTCACTCTTTTCTTTTCTTTGGTTCACTCTCTTTCTTTTGATCACTCTCTTTTTGCAATCTCACTTGATCCTCATATACTTGTTGTGGTGTCAATGGTACAAGAGTGATTGATCGTTGATTAAGCACAAAGAGTATTTGTTCGTAAAGCCATCATGCTTCACATGCCTATCAAACTGCCATGGACGCCCTAGCAATAAGTGTCCCGCTTGCATCGGTACTACATCACACAACACTTCATCTTCGTACTTACCATTTAGAATGCAACTAACACCTGCTTGTTCACCCTTATCTCACCACTATCATTTAACCATTGCAACTTATACGGTTTAGGGTGCTTCAACACCGGTAGTCCTAATTTCTCCACCATAATTGTGCTTGCAACATTAGTACAACTACCACCATCAATAATTACACTACACACCTTGTCTTTGATGTAGCACCTAGTATGAAAGATGTTCTCCCGCTGCACTTCATCAACCTCTTTGGCATGTACGCTCAATGCTCTCCTTGCCACCAATGTCAATGCATCAGGGGCTAAATATTCCTCCTCGGGAACGTCCTCCAATGGTGGCATGTCATCAGTGTCAGAATCTTCATTGTCGGTCACAATTTCACCATTGTCTTGCAACACCATGACCTGCTTGTTTGGACATTGACTTGCTATGTGTCCCCTGCTTGACATTTAAAACATTTAATGTCACGATTCTTAGAGGTAGAGTGTCGATTTTACCTTGAGGAATGTGGCTGGTGTTCACGGACTTGGGCTTTGCTTTGGACGTTGGTGACTTGTCCAGTTGCTTAGTATAACTTGATTTCCAAGAGGTAGAACTAGAGTTATGGGTTGCACGTGACCCACCCCCTCTTGAGTTGTTGCTCCACTTTGATGGCCATGTGCACCATGTCTTCCAACTCCACATAATGCTGCATCTCTACCTTATCTAGGATTTTGATTTAATCCAAGTAAAAACCTAGCCATGGTAGCCTCTCGATCCTCCTCTACATTAGCTCGGATCATAGCAATCTCCATCTCCTTGTAGTAATCCTCCACGCTTTGGCTTCCCTGTCTAAGACCTTGTAGTTTTTTTATACAACTCTTGGTAGTAGTAGCTTGGAATGAACCGCTTTCTCATCACCGTTTTCATCTCCTCCCATGTCTCTATTGGACGTTCTCTATTTTGCCTCCAGTTTATAACAAGCTGATCCCACCAAGTAATAGCATAGTCAGAAAACTCAATCATCGCTAATTTTACCTTATTTGCTTCGGAATAGTTATGGCAATCAAATACGAACTCCATCTTTTTTCTCCCACTCAAGATATGCTTCAGGATCAGATCTACCTTGAAACAATGGAATCTTCATCTTAATACCACCCAAGTTGTTATCTTCCCAGTTCCTAGCTTCTCTAAACCGCCCTCCATGTCTCCTATTACTAACAACAGAATTTCGATCATCTTCTTCATCAAAACCAGCCCCATAAGGCTCTTCATCTTCAACCCTTACTTCCTCGGTTGAACTCTTTCCCTTCTACACACATTAGGGACGTTTGTGGGCTGCCTCTCATGTGTTTTCTCCATTTGATCTATCCGTTCGTGAACTTGCTCCAGTTTCAACTTCATCACACGCCTCATCTCACTCATCATGGCCTCCATAAACAATTTTGGGTCAGCAAGATCCATAGTAGTGTTGTGAGACATGATTGCTGCAAAACAAAGTTGGACAAAAAATTAAAAGAATCTCACAATTCTCTCTCTTACGTGTTTACACTCAAGAATGTGGATCACTCTACACTCGTGTTTCACTCAGAATACATGACTTTTTTAAACCCTGTAATGTTCTCACCACTCTTGCCTTTTTCACTTGATAATTTGTCTTTTAGTTCTTTTGAAACTAAACAAACAATTCTCAAATTTTCAGTAACAATTCCCTAAGAACTCATCAAGGAATTTCAGGTTTGAAGAGCAAGAATTCAAGGAACACGGCTGATTAGATTTTCAGAAGCAAAAATTAGCAAGATTTCCAAAAAAATATCTGATTTTGGGGTGAGGTGGTTTTCGAGCTTATTGGACCCAAGATGGATGAATTACAAACAATTTGATTTTTTTTTTTGTTTTAGCGATGGATGAACACAAACAATTTGACTTCATTTTTTTTTGACTTCTTTCTGCCCCCTTTTTTTTTTTGATCAGCAACTAACTTTTGGTAGTAACAAAATATGAATTTATAATAAATAGAACCAACAAAATACGAATGGAATGGGGTAAAGGAAATTCGGCTACACTAGGGTATGTGAACCGAATTTTTTAGGAACTAAAAGAACACAGAATAATGAAGAGAAAGGAACAAGGAATAATGAAGAGAAAGATTTTAAGAGATAGGCAAACCTGAACTCGAACCTTGGCTCTGATACCAAATGATGTGAAAATCGCCAAGAATAATGAGAACCAACAACGAAAAGGATCTCAGATCATTTTACGATCAGATTTGATGCTAGACCTCGACCCATTGTTTTACGACAAACAAGAACCTTGGTATATAGACCTCAACCCGATATTTGTGAAACAAGAACCTCAATATAAAGGAAGACGCCACAAACGGTGTGGAAACCCATTTGATAAGTCGCTAGTGAATGCCACGAAAAATTTTGATAAGTTCGTTTCGTTCTTCAAAGAACCGTAGAGAATAATATTCTCAATTTGCTGAATAATAATCTGCCTTTTCATTGATTTGAATGCCAATTTATAGGCCGGTCATTACAAGGTTTAGGAAACTTCCTAAAATAGCTATCCTATTTAAGAAATATCTCTTACTTGTTAGTAAAGAAATGTCTCTTACTTTCCTAAGACTCTTGAAGAAAAAGAAAGACATTCAGCCATTTAATTGGCTGATCACATGCCTAAATAGAAAAAGAAAAGTACTTGACATACAAGCCTTACAATCAGACCCCAAAAGAGTGAATAATGCGTTGTTACTATAGCGTGAACAGTGCGGTGCTACAGTAACTTCGAAAATCCTACTTTATAAGAAATAAAATATGTGGGCTAAACATCCTCAAGCCCACTTATAATAATAATCCTTTAAACAAATTGGAGGCATTAACAACAATAGGCCAATTTAAGCTTAGTCTTAGCCCCTAGCTAGATTCTTCTAGAACTTGAATCATGTTGATGAATCTTTGTTACCCAAGTGGATCATGGTCAATGGGCCTCCACATACTTGCTTGATTCCATGCCTCTTGAATCAGTCCATTAAGTACCTCTTTAAATTTCCTTGCTCGTGCTCTCGTAACCGGCCAATTGGAACTTGAATTAAATCCCTTGAAGTTGTGCTATGATTTGCATCAGGGGATGACATGCCACAAATTTTAGAATTTTTCATAATTTACAATGCACACTAACATACATTAATTTAAATGTGGAATATTTAGTTTACATTTTGTACATTTTATCTCGTACAATTTGAATTCAATTTAAATTTGTTGTGTAATTAATTATTATTTTATCTAAATGGGCTTGTGAAGGTTGTTAAAGAAGTTCTCAAAGCATCTTAAGTCAATTACTTTTGAAGGATCACGATCACTCATCCTATATGTAGTAATTTTGTTCTTGATAAGATCAACTTTTTGTTCATAAAAAAAGTAGAGTATAATTGTTTCTTTTCATTATTTATATAAGATGAAGGAATTGCTAATATTCATTATTTTTGACACAAGATTGTTGGGGGGGGGGGGGCGGGGGGGCGGGGGGGTTGGAGAGAGATTAAGGAGGAAATTTGTTAGATTATTTTATTTTGATGGTTTGTAATCAACTATAAATTTGATGTACTAAGTTGTTCAAGCATAAATAAATTTTTTGTGTGTGCAAGGTTTCAATAAATGTCAATTTTGTTTGGGGATATATGAATGAGTACATCATGTATATGATAGGTAAAACTTTGAATCCAAGTATAGAAATAAAAAAAAATTGTGAAGAATTGAAAATTTGTATAACGAAGCACTTTTGTGGCAAAAAAATTCGACGCTACAAGTACTGTCCATTTTCTAAGCGACAAAATCTTATTGTTGTCAAGTTGATTTAGTTTATTTTTCATTTTTTTGCAATCAAACTACTATTATCAAAAATGCTTCAGCAACACTCCCTTCTCTTCAGATGATTTACTCAAGTTTGTTTTTCAAATTTTAATTTGTTTGCATGCCAATGAAATTTGGGTGTAGATTTGAAGATTTTTTGAGTAATGTCATCTCAATGAATCACATAATGGAGAATCATGGTGAATTGCACAAGAAAGAGATTTTCCATAAAAAATTTTGAGCAATGCTATGTAACCCAAATTTGGGATTCCAAATCAATAAAGACCATTAGATGAGTGCGATGCCATTTAGGATTCAAAATTGGGTTGCGTAGCATTTTCAAAAAACTTTGTAGTTTGATATGAACTTTTATTTTTGCCTTTGATCTTGATCAATTACTCTTGCCTTTTTAGCAGTCTTCCTCACCTAAGGCTTTCCCCATCAATGGGATAATGTCAACATTCATATGTATGTGACAATCTTACACATGCTATAATCCAAATGGGAAAGAAAAAAAAAAAGAAATATTTACATGAGGTGTCAAAGGACACTTGCGTATTGGTTTTCCGCTACTAAACACGCTCTACAAAAGTGTTTATATATTTTTTAATTTGTAAATTAATTTGTCATTTATTTTCATCATTTAATTTTTTGGATCGATTTGTATCACACAACAGAAACTACATTTGCAAATACCTAGTTAACATTCTACATAATTAACAATAAGAAAATATAAATTAAATCAACAACTTAAATTGATTCACATGCAACGCATGTGTGCAACAAACTAGTTTATTCAAATGAGGCCATAGATTTATACAAACTAGTGCTAGCTAGGTCTCTTCTCTCCTCTCTACATATGATATTATGTGGTATCTTGTGATGTGCACACTTCAAACAGAGTAGCCTAGGCCCATTGTGTAGATGGAGTTCTACACAATGCCCTCGAATACTTCAAGATAGAAGCTTATTCAATTAAAATGAACAAGTATAAAAGTGATACAGTGATACACTTGTGCATACATGTCTGCTGTCCAATTCAGTCAATCTGTTTCTTATCTGGTGAGCTGTGACAAGCCATCTTCAAGGGAATGGGTGGATCGGAAAAAGCTCCAGTGGAGATTTTATCGAAGATTATCTTATTTGCTGCCTCGGTGTAGTGAATTCCATCCCAAACTATGCGAGTTGATGGATTTTTACATGCACCGATGAATATTTGGCTGCCGTTGACTGTGACGGTTGTTCCACAGTCGCCGTTGCCATAGTTATACTCGCCTCCAAGGCCACAACAAGTTACAAGAGGAAGCTCAAATCCTACACATTTTGATCAAAAAATGTTAAGTGAAATCCTCATATTTTCTTCTGTAACCTTACGTATGTTGGTGGAAGAAAAAAATTAGGGTGAATATCATAAATGATTCTTGAATTATGATTGGAGCTTTAAAATGCTCTTTGATTTTCAACTGCCTCAATTTTATGCTTAAACTTTTAAAATCGTTTTATTCAGTCTTTTTTATCCATTTCAGACATCAAAACAAACGGTTTTTCTACTTGAAAATCATGTACTATTGTTAGTAGCAAAGTAATGATAGAAAGTCTCCTAGGTTAAATAATCGCCCATTCTCGCATCAAAACAAGATTGAGTCATCACGTAAGAGAATGAGCCATTATCAGTTTATTGAAGACTTTATAATTTATGTCTCATTTTTGCCTTAATAATAGCACACAATGCTCAAGTCAAAAAAATCATCTGTTTGACTCCTAAAATAGGCAAAAGGGACCGGTTGAAATGCTCTCAAAAGTTCAAGGACTTTAATTAAAGTAGCTAAAAAATTGGAGCATTTTTAAAATTCGGACCATTATTTAAGGGCAATTTATGCTATTTACCCAAAATTTTATATGTCGAATAGGGAAAACTATCATGGGGCGTACCGTATTTTTCGGGTTCAAGAAAGAGAGAGTACTTGGCTGAGTAGATATCTACATATGTGAGTGCAGCAAGTGGAAGGTCCTTCCTGAGTTGAACAATGGCCTTCTTCAACTTGTAGTTGAAGTATTGAGCTACCTCATTATAAGGCTTTGCGCAACCAGCACTGTCCATCTGATCAGCATTTGGTGGAAAATTTACAAAAATATATGCCAGGCAACCAATTGGTCCAGTGTTGTGGATCCAAAATGTTCTAGCTCCCAATCCGTATATGTTCTGCATCACCAAAATTCACTACTTCATGACCACAACAGTTCAAGGAGCATGCTGTTAGCTTGTGTCTATGGTGTTAATAAATCCGAGCTTGTCGACTGTGGGTGTGATCAACTCGCCTTGGTTGTGATTAGTGTAGTTCAAGCTCGAATCGAGCTCAACTGTCGAACTTAGATTCTTACTCAAGCTCGCCTCAGAAGAAAAGTGAACATTTCTGCCAAACTCAAGCCCAAACCGGGCATAATATCTCAGAAAATAATACGAAAAACTCTCAAAATCTTTATAATAAAACATAAAGAATCTCTAGGATAAGGGAGTGAGGGAGATATGTATTTGATATGAAACCATTTGAACTTTGAAGATACGTTTGTGTTTGTTCATCTTTCCAGTAGGGTTTTTTTGGTAATAAAATTATAATTATTAAATTATTTATTTAAAGAGGGAACGATTTTGAGACTAGTAGAATCTACACAAGCCGTGTCCCACGTCGCTCAATTTGGCTCATTTTCTAAAGGAGCTAAAATATTTGATCAAAGTCAATTTATTTAGTTGTTTGAACGAGTTAAAACTAAGCTGATTTTGAGTTCGAAATCGAGCTCAAACCACTTGGATCATTTAACCGATTTGCTTATGTGGCCTCTCTGTTATAAGGATTACCTTCACGTGGGTGGAGAAGCTGTTGACTATATCTGGGACAGATGCATTAACCTCCTCTATAGATCTGTTACTAGAGAACCCTTGACCAAGATCATTCTGACCGATATCCATGGTATACAATGCTTTTGAAAAATACTCCTTCATGGGCATTAAATCTCCATACACACCTCCTTCAAAAAACAATAATAGGCAATTTTATAACTTTATTCAAAAATGTTGATAGATCACTTTATTTTTATATAATTTTTTAGTATTATGGTCAGGGGTATCCTGATAAACAATTTCAATTAATTCACTCTTCGATCCAATAAAAGATTGGATATCCACACTGAAACTAAAGCCTCATGACCTAGTTCAAAGAATGTTGTCATGTTTAGGAACTGACCTTGTTTTTTAAGAATTTGTGATCGGTATATGAATTGCTTTAATTGCCAGTACTGCACATCGAGGTAAAAGGGACTGAATCCACCCACCGGAATGATATATTCCGGTGGTCCGATTGTTGCTGCTGCCGAGGCAAAATTGGCACCATTGGTGAAGTTCGTCCCCAAGGAGTTGAGATAAGCACTGAGAAATGGCAAACCCAAACTTCTTGCTGCAGAAACATGCAGTCTAGACTTCAAAAACTTAAAAAGATATCGTCTGCTAATTTTTGTAGTAAAAAAGCAATTACATCAAAAAAATCAAGAAAATCAAGAAAATCAAAAAACTTATTGGATTATTATTATTTAACAAAGATTTATGTCTCTTAATTTATAAATATTGCACTAATACTATGCATGTGATTAAGCTCGGAGAAAAGAAAAAAAATTAAAATAAAATAAAAACGCTAGAAAATGTCACCAAACGCTAAAAGTTGGAATGATTATATTGTCAGGCTTGGGTCACTCGATACACTTGTTTACGTTTCTTTTATCATAACCTATTTATTAGAGACATGATGGAATTCACAGATATCTAAAATTATCCACATAGTTTGGATAAGGGAAGATGATTGTAAGCGGAGATGATTTTTGTCTTATTACTCAACCGTATAAATATGGCTGAGGTCAATATGTCGAATTGAAGCAAAAAAATAGAAAACAAGTCACAGGTGTTTTCAAACTTTTCTTTAAAAATTTTGAAAACACGGAGACAGATATTTTCTTTAATGAGGTTTGCCCTTCAAGTTCACTTAGCAGCAAAAAACTTCCTTCTTTCTGTTTTCTTTCCTCTCTTTCTCCACTTTGCCCAACGTCTTCTTCTCCAGTGTTTTCTTCACTGTGCTTCAGATCTGTCTCTCTCTCTCTTTCGCAACAACTACAGATTCAAATATACACAGATGTGTGTGTGTCTGTGTATGTGTATGTGTGTTTTTGTTTGTGTGTGTGCCTCTCTGCGTGTGTGTGTGTCTGTGTATGCGTCTGTGTATGTGTGTGTGCGTGTGTAAGTGTGTTTTGTGGAGATAGAGAGAGGGGAAAGAAATCGAGAGATGGGAATTATGATTATTGTTCAAACAGATTTTATAATTTTTATTCTTTAAAACTATTTTCAAAAATATATAACTAACATGTATTATAATCTAAAATTTTAAAAATACTTTCTTAAAATTCTTTTCAAAAATAATTTTTAAATACTATTTTTTGAAATGCAAATCAAATAACCTATACATTTTTTATGTTTCGCTTTCTCTTAACGTTGTTACCTTCAATCTCTCTCATACTTCAAATCTCATTAACGTCCAGGTGCACATATATTATGTGATGGATAATGCTCACCCTCTTGGTGTAAGAATGATGTCTACAGACTTTTATGGACCAAACATAAGTACGGATGCTTTCACAACAGAACTACATGGATAGTATATTGTCATATATGACCTATTACAATGGAAAATAAATAGTTATACATACCGATGAAATCAATGATGAGCCGTCCATCGGAAAATCTCCCGACTGGCTTATGGAAGAAGGTTTCCCCATAAGGTGGTGGAGTCCAATTAAAAGCAGCAGCCAGTGCACCGGTATCCGAATTCGAATCACCGAGATTAAAGATAGCTGGAAAATCACATTCTTTTGATGCATAGCTAGGCTTCAAGATGGTAACATAAGAGAGAAGAAGGAAGAAGGAAGAAGCAAGAGAGAGAAATTGTAGATTTGAACATTCTTAAAGACTCCATGATGGAAGAAGGCAGAGAAAGAGAAAATAAAGATTGTGTTGAGATTAGAAGGCCGAGGAAGAAAGTTCTGCTTATAGAGTGTGTCAAAGGTAGACTTTTCAATTGTTAAGTTGATGAGAAATTCTCTTGTTCATCCATTATAGTGATGTTAGCATCAGGAATCTAAAAACCGTACTACACATTTATCTGATAATAGCTGAGTCATATTGACACTATCTACTTGTATCCGCCTTGAAAGGAGATGTCTCGTGCTGGTAAATATAAAGTGTTATAACGGAACAATTAACATTTTTTTTTAAGAGGGCAAGGGGAGATTTGAACCCTTGCGGCAAAATTTTAATAAAGTAAAGAGTATTATTGGATCAAAAATCCGTTGATAAAAACACAAAGCAAAAGCACTGAGGAATTATTAACATATGATATCACCATCTAATAATAAAATAATAAATAATTAGTGAAACCCTACTAATATTTCAACATCGTAGTTATTAGATAGTGTGGTCATTGACAATTATTAAAATAATAATGTTATGTCGACCAAATTATGGGACCAAATTTAAAGCTCAAATGACATGACAGCATATTATTTTGAGCTTTTATTCAAGCCCACATAACTTGACACCAAATAAAGAAGCTCAAATCAGTTGTCATGTCATTTGGGCTCTAAATTTGATCCCAAAATTTGGTCAGTGTAACATTACTGTTATTAAAATAATGGAACTGGCAAAGTCCACGTGTTATTAGTAACTGATTGATAATATCATGTAATATTGATGACGTGGTGTTACCGCTATATGAAATATTTTCTCATTTTATTTGGAATAAATAAGCACAATGTTGCACAAGGCAAAATATATATATATATATGGCAGCAGGAATCATTCCAACCTCACTTACAATCGATCAATCGTGTGGATTACAATTGGATTTTTTGCAAGTAGAAGAATGCACGAGTTTATGTTCTCTTATTCGGCCAGTATACCATTTCGTGCATGTAAAGAAAATTTTATTTTCACAATTATACCCCAGAAAAAAAAAATGTTCCTTTTAACTGGCAAAGTTAGGCAAGTGATATGGAGTTAATTTTTGGGATACTTGTACACCCAAAAGTCATGAGTGTGGTTGGTGTTACCCAAACGTAATGGACTTGACTATGATACTAAAAAAAAAAAAATTTAGTATTGCACCTCCAAAATTTATTATTTATCACATTTATGGGTGTGTTTTCTATGGTTGTGGTAAATTTTTATCACTTTTTCAATATAAAAAAATTATCACTTTTGTTGGTGTTGTAATTACTATTATGGATGTTTTTATCACTGTTGTGATAACTATTTTTACCACTTTTCTTTGATACCACAACAGTGATAAGAAACACAAATAATAGTGATAAAAAAACCCATAAATGTGAAAAATATTAATACAATACCAAATTTTTTTATTTTTTTTAAGTACCGCATAGATCTCCAAACTTAATTTACACCATAAGTTTCCAAATGATTACAGGTGTTGGTGATTTACTTGTGCAATAGTGGATTCAAAAGACCTTGCCTAACTCTTATGGGGTTTGGTCTAGCAGTTGGATATGTCCTTTAGTAACAAAGAGATCTTAAATCCAATCCCTTCCAACACCTCTAAGGGCTAACCACTCGTGTCTCCCTCTTCCCTTTCTCATCACAAAGTGCTCTTTTATAAATAACAAATGGGGAGGCGGAAGCAATCAAAATGATGCGTAAAGTCAGGGCTTTGGGAAGGACTCATGTAATAGATAAGTTTCAACACTTTGTCTGCTACACTTTCCCCCTTCAAGAGCTCCGCTAGTTAACATATGAGACTAGTCTCCTTTAAGGACATGTTTTAGACCAGCTCAAGTCATAATGACCAACTACTGAGTTCGAGAAAGTAGTCGACGAAAGCCTGAACATCTCATAAAAAAGAAAAAAAAAACCTTGCCTTAAATCGATTTCTAATTATTAAACAAAAATTGTTTTATTGTAAGGCATTATTTGAAGACATGAAACTATATGTCTTACCATCAACAATGAACGCTCTTATGCACAGTTGGCAATTACTTTACACAAAATTGTTTTATTGTAAGACATTGTTTTAAGAAATGAAGCTACATATCTCACCATCAACAATGAACGCTCTTATGTACAGTTGGCAATTACTTTACACAAAATTTTGTTTAGTTCGTCACTGATGAATAATGGAAGCTTGAATTTTCATAATTTTCCAGTGGGTGGCGTACACTAAAGCATGAAAAAAAGCAAAGACAAAAAAGAAAGATGAGGAAGAAGAAGAAGAAAACAGAGGATAACATTTGGGTATGAAGTCAAGAATAAGCAATTTGTCAATGTGCAAATTCAAGATATCTCCCAATGGGGTTAAGACTACATCATCATTTTGGAATCGTATCAAAATTCATTTATGATTATTGATTTTGATTTAGATATTTTGTAATTATCAATCCAAAAAACCATAAAAATTACACTTGTTAAATTTAATTGTTTTCAGCATCAGAATTGGTTCCAGAGTGTTTAACCGATAACACACTGGATAATTTTATAATATAAAACAGAACATGTTTCAATAAGTTCATTCAACGGTCTCAAATAGACTTATTTAACGATCATCAATATCTCTCTCAAAAACATTCATTTTCAAGCATGGGTTACCCCTAGTAAAACTATAAAAGTGGGGTAAAATGTCCTTAGTCACATAATTCGTGTGAACAATCGATACTCTGGCATTTCGTGTGCAATTTTGAATTTTGGGAGTGAATTCTTCACAAATTAACATTATCATTTTATAAAATTCACAAGTTCAAATTTTCAATTCGTGAATTTAGCTAATTCGCGCTCTTATACTTACGCGCTTACTCATTATTATTCAAATTTTTATTTGATAAGTATGACTCATGCCTAAAGATACATATAAATATAGAATGTTATTTATCGGAGTTAATTATAAATTACCCACTTCATGTTTGAGTCATGTGTAATGAACTCCCTTTGGTTACATTTTTAACAAATGTCATCTTAAGGGTGCATTTGGTAACATTCTCAGTTTTATGTTTTCATTTTTAACATTTTCATTTTTATGTTTTTTTTTCCTAAAAAAATGGAATTAGTTTTTGTTTTTCTGTGATAAAATTAAAAATATAAAACATATTTGGTAGTCATTTATATTTAAAAATTTATGAAAACAAAAATAAAAAATATATTTGGTATTATACCAAAACCCTACCATCCAACCCCATTGACCAACGAAATCCACCCTCTCACCACTGAAATTCACAACCCACCCCAACCCCACCATCGAAACCCACCCCCCACCATTGAAACCCACCATCATAACCACCGAAACCCATTACCAACCTCTAAAACTCCCTAGCAAAGCCCACTACCCATCCCCAAAACCCACCACCACCCACTATCCACCCCTGAAATCACTACCACCCCCAAAACCCACCTTTGAAACTTCCCAACAAAACCCATCAAAGAAGGGTGAGAGAGAGAGCCGAGAGTTCTGGAAAATAAAGTGAAAAAGAGAGGGACTTTTTATACTCAAGCAAGAAAATTCACTTTTTGTTACTAAGGAGTATCGAAGTCAGGATTTTATTAAATGAGAAATTTTCAATCGCACGTTTGTTTGTTGTTTTTTTTTTCAAAAATATCATTTTAGATGTTCTCATATTTTAGTCTTGTCTTCAAAATGAAGAAGTTAAAAAACACAAAAATATTTACCAAACACCGTTTTTTTAATTATTTTGCCATCAAATAAAAACTAAAAAATAAAAATAAAAACACAAAGTTACCGAACATCACCTTAAAGTTTTCTCTGAACAAAATAACCAAATTGGTGGATGAAAAAGGCGAATCACTAATCATTTCCTTGTCATCACTACATACCTAACTCCCGGACAACCGATCCATCCACTCTCCGTCTCTCCATCAACACCATTGCCATTGTGCAATTTTACTCCACGATCCACACCAACCTAGGTTGCCAACCCCCTCAACCTCTCCACAAAACTCAACTCGCATAAAGCCCAAATGGAAGGGTTTGGTCTCCAAAATTTATTATTTATCATATTTATGAGTGTTTTTACTATAATTATGGTAAATTTTTATCACTTTTTTTGTTACAAAAAAATTATCACTTTTGTGATAACTATTTTTTTCTACTTTTTTTTGGTACCACAACAATGATAAAAATACTAATAAAAATGATAAAAATATCCATAAATATGATAAATATTAAAATAGTACCATTTTTTTTTAAGAGTACCGCAGACATCTCCAAACTTAATTGATACCATAAGTTTCCAAATAATTACAGGTTTTGGTGATTTCCTTTCACAATAGTAGATTCAAAAGATCTTGCCCAACTCTTAGGGTGGTCCGGTTGTTGGGTATGTTCTTTAGTAACTTAGAGGCACTACAAAAAAAAAAGTTTTTGAGGCGATAAAGTGCTATTATAAAAGGTTTATTTATCGTCACAAATATTTTTTATGGCAGCATTGTGGCAGGATTGCCTCGTCATAATAAGTGTGGTCTCAAAAAATTTTTACGGTAACGACAGTCTGTCTCAAATAATATTTACAATAGTTAGACCCTGTCGTAAATAAGTTGTCACAAAAAATCTGACACTTTTGCATTTACCACAGCGGCAAAAGTGCTGTCTCAAATACCACATTTGATTGTCATAAAAAATAGAAGATTTTGTTGTGGCAGGTAATATACTGTCGCAAAAAAGTATGAAATTTTGTTCTATGTTGAAAGAAATATATTTACGACGGTAATGATGTCGCCACAAAAAAAATAATTTGTTTCTAATTATTATGCACTGTTGGTAACCAATGTTATATATCCAGTGCATATATATATTTTCATCACATGAATTTAAAAGTGCACATCCGTATAATTTTATTTATTTTTTGGGTGGGGGGGGGGGGGAAGGGTGATGAACCCTTAACCTTAAGAAGACAAAACCTTCACAAAGTAAGGAGTACTATTGGACAAAAGATTCATTGGTATCTGTACAACTACTCAATTCAATGTATAGATAGACACAAAAATAAATATGACCA